CTGAGCTTCTCGCAGAGCGTGTGTGGCCTCCTGGGCGCTAGGCCGGGGCCCACGCACTGCGGCCTGAAGCGGGGACAGCTCGTCCTCTCGGACAGGCCATTCCCAGGCGCGTCGGCCAGGCTTCCGCTCCAGGTCGGGAGAAGGGGCTTCGCAGCGGGCAGTGAAGGGCCGAAGGGCGCGACTGGGATCGGGAGGGAGGCGGGGGCTTGCGGGCCGAGCCCATCGCCCCGGCTCGGCCTCCTCCCCCATCCCCCCGTCGTGCGATGCTCCCCAGTTTTTGAAAGCCCCGCCCGGCTTCTGAAGCGATAACCCAAGTGGTTCCCTCCCGCCAGCGACCCCCTTTCTGCCCTTTTGCGGCCCTGGACCAGCAGCCCGGGGCTCCTGGGGCCGAGCTGCCCACGAATCGAGGTGTGGATCTGGGTGTGGCGGTCATTCTGCAGTCCAGCGATCAGACCGTCTTGTTGACCCGAAGGACACGCACCCTCAACGTTTCACCCAACCTCTGGGTACCCCCAGGTGAGCGCCCTGAGGACAAGGCCCTGTCCAGGAAAGAAACTTCCCCTTCACCCAACAGTGCTATCCCCAGTCTGAGAATGACAGAGAAGCTGGCCCAGAAATGTAGTAGGTCCCAAAATCACAAGGGGCTGCAACAGCGTCTGTGCCCCCTGGAGGAGGGGGCGGTGTAAATACTGCATGGGGTCCCTGGCCAAGGACACCATCATTCACCTACTGGCCCCACTGTTGTTGCAGGTGGGCATGTGGAACTTGATGAAGAGGTAACCGATCACCTTACCCAGCCTGCACCCTGCCCTGAAGGAGGGACTGTGTCTGGGATCACCTTGGGTGGGGGCCAGGGGAAGGGCAAACACAGGACTTGGAGGAGTCAGGTGCTGGCCTCTCTGACCTCCTGCCCTCTCTCTCCCAGCTGTTGGACGGAGGGCTTCGAGAGCTTTGGGAGGAGAGTGGACTACAGCTGCCCCGGGGCCAGTTCTCTTGGGTCCCTCTGGGGCTATGGGAGGTGAGACAAGGACCTGGGAGAGGTTTCTTCCTACTTAAACAAGAACCCTCGACAACTTCTAACCCACCGAAGCCCACAGAACTGGCCTAGCTGCTTTGACCACAGGGGAAATGATGGTGTATGGGTGTCTGAAGTCCCCAACCCCACAGCCCTTACCCGTGTCCCTCTTGCATTGTTTCTACTCTCCACTTCCTTGGCTGCATTTACAAAGTCTCAAGGGACAGAAAGTTCTTACTTTCGCCATTTTCTTCTCTCTTAGTCTGCCTACCCTCCTAGGCTGAGCTGGGGTCTCCCCAGATACCATCACATCGTTCTCTATCTACTTGTCATCTCCCAGGAGTCACAGCAGCAGCTGCAGGTAGGGCTGGCAGTAGAGGAAGGAAATGGGGCTTAGGAGACCCAAGCAGACTGGTTCTCACTATGGCTAGGGTGGGGGAGGGGAAGGTCAGAGATAAGCAAGAAATCCAATAGCCTCTCCCCGGCCCCTGCCCCAAGTCTCTCCACTCCACCTGTGGGTAGGCTGTGATCAGAAACAGGTCTCCTGAGAAAGCCCGTGACTAAGGGATCAACATGTCTGGCCCCAGGCCCGGATCCAACCAAACCCAGGAGAGGTGAGCGCCTTTATGTGGCTGGGACCAGATGTAGCAGCTGCAGTGGCTGCCTCAGAGGATGGGACAGAGACACCCAGACATCTTCCCCAGGACCTACCACCCTCTGTCCCGTAAGTAGGAGCTTCTCCCTAACCCTCCAACACACCAACACATACACATTGAGAAGTTCAGCTTCTGTCTCCTCCTCAGGAGAGAATTTTGTTTTGTGGGGGAGATTTAGGGAGTTGGTTAGCTGACAATGAAGAGAGAACATGAGATCAAAGATACTGCCCATCATACTCCAAGGGTTCCTGCTCCAACTAGCCAGCACCGAAGACCTGGGCTTCAGTCCCACTCTCTCATAGGGGCAAGTCATTTAACCCTCCTCTCTGTAAAAGGGCATTAACACCCACCCACCTCTCCTCCCTTTGGTGGTTGGGAGGATCAGATGAAGTGGGTGAAGCCACAAGGCACAGCACAGACAGGAGCTGTCATTCCGCAGTGCGGTGGAACTAGGAGAGGACGGAGGAGCTCGACCTCTGGCCTTGCCCACGTCCACCCTGCTGCGGACCACCCCAGCCGTGGCCGACAGCCAAGAGAGGGTTAGCACAGGGACCAAGTTTGCCCTCAGGCTCTGGCTGCAACACCTGGGCAGGTAAGGATGAGGCCCTAAGGATTCCACAGTGTTGGGCAGAATGGTCTGGTGTTTTTATGGGCATGGGGGAGAGGAAGGACGAAGGAATAACTGCTCTTGAAAATCCTCAGTGTGACACCCCTATCACGTGGAAGTGGAGCTCCCTCAGACCCGGGGCCAGCAAAGGAAGAACAGAATGTTGACCCTCTCCCCCCCGGACCAGGAATCTGATACCCCCCTCCCCAGCCCACCTCCGTGACACTCTGAACATTCACAACCTTTATTATGGGTGAGAACTTTGTTACAACTGTGGGAATACAACATAGGTCCCAGGCCCTAGAGGAGCCTGAAAAAGGAGCTGGGGGAGAGCGTGGGTGCTCACACCTCCCAGGAAAGGTGCAGAATGATCCACCCTGACCACAGGCCCGTGGGCCTTTAGAAGCTCAGGCCTCAGGCTGGTCAGCGTGAGAAACATTGTGAACTTAAATATATAAATAGAGACCCAGGCGATTGGCCAGGCCCTTCTCCCAAACCCCTGGGGATCAGGGCTAAGGCCTTATCCGCTTCTCAGTCATTACTGGGAAGTAGGAGGCAGGGAAAGTCATCTTTGGAGTATTTTGTTTTTTCTTGTTTATGCACAAAAAATCTGCAACCCAAAATAGAGTTCTCTGTCCATGTGTCTGCCCGTCTCAGTTACTCCACCTGTCTGTTTGGCCAAAGAGAACGGAATGGACATGAAGAGACAATGGACATGGGGAAGGAACAGAGCCGGCTCTGGGGAATGAGAAGAGAGGGCACCTAGGGGACACGAGAAGGCCCCCTTCCCCGCGAGGCTCTACACAGTCAAGGCTGAGGATTCAGCCCTTTCCCCAACTCACATCCCACCCCATTTGCCTGCTACTGCCTAGGTTAGCATACCCAAAGGAATGTGCGGCCCTCAAAGAATACGAATACGTCCAAAAACAGACACCCCGAGTTTCCTTCAAAAGGGGTTAAATATTAACCCTTTGGGTGCTGGACTTGTCAGGCAGAGATAAGGCCAAAAACAGGTGTCCATGAAGGTCTCTCTGGCCTTTGACCAAAGCCCCCGAGGGGTCAGGGTGGCCAGGGGTTCAGACTCCACAGCATACTTGCTCAGCTGTCAGGAGGCAGTGAAGGTTCCCAAAGCCAGGAACTCAGTCCAGGGAAATGATGTCTGACCGACAGCCGGTCAAAGAAGGACCTGAGGGCAGAGGTCCTCCGTGCCCCTCCCTTAAGGTCCCCCCAGGGGCCACGATGCTACTGACGCGGCCAGGAGGGGGTGCTGGAGTGGTGCTACGGTGAGAGCTCCCCAGCGTGGGGGCTAGCGGGCCCAGAAAGTGGGAAGGGGTCCCTCGGTACTGGAAGAAGTGGCCAAGGGCATCCTGTTCGTCTAGTGAGGTGATGACAGAGGGACCGTAGTGCTGGGAGGAATCAAGAGCATGGTTTAAGAGATCATCTGGGCTGTCCCCGCCTCCCAATCCCTTGTCTCAGAAATATCATATGGGATGAATCAACCCCTTGGGATCCCAAGGTATTCTCTGAGAAGCGGGAGCGCCTCTCCCTGACTCTTTCCCCACTTCCCCGCACCCTACCCCTATTCCCTGCCTTCCCAGCCCCACCAGCCTGCTAGGTTCTTGGCCCTGTGGGCGTGTGAAATGTGTGGAATGTCCGGCTGGGGCAGTCGTGGTGCTCAAGTGCATATGGCTTTGAGGGGTGAGCAGACAGGAGCAGAACTGCGCCAAGAACTCTGGAGACAGAACAGTAAGTAATAGAGGACAGAGGAGGACACGGGTGAGAATCCGAGGCAGTCCCAGTGGGGCCTAGGAGGGAAATAAACTGCCTGTACTGCCCCCTCTCCTCCACAAAGAGGCAGATTTAGGTCCCCTGGGGAAAATAGGGGGGAGCCCTCAGTGCCTAGAAAGGAAGCTTCAGAGATCTGAGATGTTCATGGGAGGAGAAGGGGCTACTTACCTGACTCTCAGGCTGAAGGAAAGAAAATAAATCTAAACCTGGTAAGAAAAGAAAAATTAAAATTAACTTCCTATCTGGCCCCTTCACCACCAAAAACAAGCAAACAAAACACTCAAACAAGTTCCGTGGACTGTGGCCCTTTGCGAGACGGCCAGAAAGCTCTGAAAAGGAGCAAGGGCTCTGAGCCGGTTCTGGGGAGGCTGTGGCGGTGCAGGGCCCCACCCTGTGATCAGCGTCATACCTTGGATATCAGCCCCCAGTGGGAAGGCAGGTGGGTACTCGTGTAGCGGGAGACCGGACAGGAAATCGCCGCCCATCGTGCCCACAGCAGGGCTCCGCAGCACCGAGGATGGCTGGTGATCAGACGTCAGGACTCTGTGAGGAGAGAAGGAAACACAGATGCCCTCACGCAGCTCTGCCTCCCAAGTCCCCTCTGTGCCCCAGGGTTTGCCCAGTGATCAGAAAGCACCCCCGACGTCTTCCCTGCCCCTTCTGCTGTAGATTCAGCCTATTTCCTCGTACCCTTTGCTTCCAGGTAGAGCTGGGATAGCAGCTGAGGTGACAGGACAGTGCTTTTTGGTCGGGGGCAGGTCCTCCTCATCTGATGAGCTTTCTATTGTCAAGTCAATCACTTCAACCTTCTTCTTATTCTCTGATGGATTGCCCTCTTGGACTGGGCTATACTGGACAGCTGTGGGTAGGAAGAAGACTATGTCTCAGAGAAGAGGCCACCCCAGACTCAGCTCAACTGGGAGACAGGGGGTCACTCACCATCCAGCCCATACCCTGGCGGGGGGCAAACCTCAGATGCCTCCTTCTTGGGTTTCATTGGGCACCAGGATCCGTCTTCCATGAACTGGATCTCATCACAATCCGAGCAGGAATTAAGAATCTCCATGAATAAACTGGGGGAAAGGAGAGATGGGAACTCATGTGGCCGGGAGATGGCTAGAATAGCAGCCAGGGAGCTCTGGGACTCACCTTCCTGAACCTCAGCTTCCTCATCTGTAAATCAGGGATAGCATCCACCCTAATGACCTCTCTGAGTTGTTGTTGGAATCAAATAAAGTAAGGTGTGTAAAAGAGCTTCGAAAACTTTGAGTGCTAAGTTTTAAAATAAATACATTCTAAGCACCTGTTCCGTGTAGTACTAAGGACAAGACAGAAGGAGCGGGGATACAGAACTCTGTAAACCACCTCAAAAAGGCACTGGGAATACGAATCATAATGTAGGCTCTGGAGGCGGATTAGGAACAGCAAGACAGCACATCCAGGCCCTCAAAGAACTAGATTGCTGCACTCAGTGAGAGGTCAGGTGGTTGTTACAGGAAATGCATTCGATACATTGGCTCTGCCACTTACTAACAATATAACTTTGAGCAAGATACTCAATCTCAAAAAAAAAAGAAAGAAAGAAGAGATACTTAGTCTCTCCAGGCCTTAGTTTTCTCACCAATAATGCCAGTACCCATCTCACAGGGTTACCGGCATCTCACAAGATTCAGTGAGATAAGATATGCAAAGCGCTCAGCAGGGTGCCTGGTATGGAGTAGTCCTCAGTGTTGGAGATACATACATATAATAAAGGGGACAGATTTTATATACATATATACATTATATTTATATAAAGGAGACAAATAGGTTACGAGTTGGGATTCATGGGAGGAGAAATAAGCTATATATAAACGTATATAGCCATAGAGAGAGAGAGAGTCCTAGTGGACTGTCCAAGGCAAAAGGAAGCTGAATGCAGAATGGCCCTACCCATCAATGATAAGAGATTCATAGGGAGCCTTCTTGTCACACACAGGACATGTCCACGTTGGCTTCTTCTCATTCATCTGTAGATACAGAGCAGCATCGAAGCTCTGCAGGTGGGCGCAGGTGAGAGCACGACAAGGGACAGTCAAGCGCATCTTCCCTAGCTGAGGAGAGATGAGTTCAGAGGTCAGAGTCCCCACGTCCCAGGGAGCCTCACTCTAACAGCCTGAGGAACCCACATCTGAGTCCAGAGGCTTAACCCAACCCTCCACCCCTTCTCTTCTCCCTTGTACCCACCGGGCACATAAGTGACACCCGGAGACTTGTGGTGGCCACCTCACTGTCCGGATCAGCAGTCAGTTTCTCCTTGACTGTAACAAGAGTAGGGCCAGAGCCATGGGGTCAGCAAGGCTGGATAGAAGCCCAAGGGTGGGAAGAAACAGATGACTCTGGCTGAGAGACAAGTGGGAAGAAGCCCTTTGGGAGCCAATGGGATGTCACGTGGGGGCAGTCTGTGATCTGGATTATGAAGGCTACATGGGAGGAAGGGATTCCCTTCAACCCCCCCACTAAGCCCCCGAAGATGCTTAAATACAGCTAGGTGACGCTTTGGTAGAGATGACCTAGAGGGAACTGAAACATCCCAAGAGGGTTAGATTAGATGATACTTAAGACTCTTTCTAGTCTGAAGAACCCATGTTCCAGCCGGGGCTGGAGTCAGGGTCTGTGCGGTGCAAAGCCAATGTGTAACTGGGAATGCAGGGGTGTCACTCAGTGCCTGGGAATGGTCCGACTCTTCAACCACAGAGATCAGTAAGGGACACAGGGGGAAGGGTTGGGGTTCATGTGAGAGGTGAGGCAGGTGTCACAAGGCGGGTGTGAGTTTAATTATGAAGGCTGGAGGGCCAGGAAGAATTGGCTCCAGGGCAGAGAGGAGAAGAGGGACAGGCTGCTACTCACTCAGTGCCCGGGAGTGGTCTGGGTTCCGGATGCCCTTGGCTCTGAGTTTTTGTAGAAGGGTCCCTGCAGTCAACTGCCTCACCAGGTACACAGACAAGGAGTAATTCTACTTGGAGGTGGGGAGAAACAATTAGCCTCTGCTTTGCACACCACCACCACCCCACCAACACCCCCTCCTTTGTCACAAGAGGGCCAGAGACAGCAAGCTAAGGCAGAGAGACCCATAAAGAGAAAGGTATTTCTGCAGCCCAAGACACTGGGTGACTCCCTCTCACCCCCTGCAGGCTTTCCCAGGCTCCCTGCCTCCGCCACGCTCACCCGTCCAAACTCAGATGACCAGTTGACCACGATGGTGTTGGGAACAGTGGCTGAGAGTCGAGCCAAGGGCGTGATGTTGATGGGGCGGCTGGGCCTCTTGGGCTCAGCCCCATTCTTGGTAGGGGGAAGGTAGCCCTGGAGAAGGGAGGGCCTGGTCAAGACGTCCTGCCTTAGGCTCCTTGCTCCCTGGGGCGGTCAGCTCACCCACTGACCAAGGAGATGGGGGCCCATTCAGTGACTCACAAAGCTGGGGCACTACCTAGGGTTCAATCCCGGCGGAAAAGGAGAGAGCTTATTCAATGGCCAAAGAAATAGGAAGCTGCTCACTGAGCTCTTGAGGAGCATGGGTAAGAGTAAGGAGACCCCACTTCTTCCAACTCTCAGCTCTGGGCGCATCACTTCTGAGAATCTTCCCTCAACCTCTGGGTTAAACCAATGTCCCTCCTCCTCTGGATTCAAACAGAACGCTCGTCCAGCCCTGTCTTAGGACTCACTAGATTATACTGATTCAGTCAGTAAACTGAGCACCTACTATGTCCCAGGCACTGTGCCAGGCATGTCTCTTTCATAATAGGTTTGTAATTAACATCTAGGAACTGAAACAGGGAAGGGGTTACTGCCAGAAGAAGGGAAGAGCACTTACCGG